CTGTTTTAAAACTCGGACAAGATCGGCCAGTCTGACCAGTTCGACTGGGAGTCGGCCTTGAATCCGATCCGAGTTAACATAAAAATCGGAATTAACATAAAACTCGCTTTAAACCGATAATGGATTGGTGGAACAGTACAAAATTTGCGAGTCCGACCGACTTGAGGCTTAAAATGGTTCACTGTTTTGGGGTTTATTTGATCCCTAAAAAAATCCTATTACTAATTCCTAAACCAGATCTATAGTACCGTTTCATTCTCCATTTTATTTCAATATCAGTTGAGCCAATAAGCATTCCCCATTTCATTTCAATACCATTTTCATCTCCAAATATCAAATTGTATTTTTCATTTTCATCTTCTATTCTTATTCACTTACTCTAAAATCTACAGTATAAGGAAGAAGTAAAGGGAGGAGAAGTAAGAAGTGGCTGGTCCGATTTGGACCTCGTTTGGCCAGATTGTGACAACCAATGCCTTCTTGGTTGTCAAGTGAAGTAAGGGGGAGGGGAAAAAAGAAGAAAGAGAAGAGGAGACTAAGAGGAAGAGGAAGGAAGAAGATTAGAAGAAAGAAAAGAGGAAGGAAGAAGAAAGAGAGATGAGAGAAAAAAGTTACAGTAGAGAGAGAGGGGAAAGTGATAGAAGAAATAAGAAAGTGATGGGGAGAGAGAAAAAAGGAGAAAGAAGAAAATGATGGGGAAAGAGAAAAAAAGGAGAAAGAAGAAAGTGATGGGAAGAGAGAGAAAAATAATTAATAATAAAAGTACCTATGGGTAAGCTTTAGGAGTGTGTTTGTTAGTTTTTAAACTTATAAGGACTTACGGTAATTCTTTATAGATGTGTCTGTTGAATATCGGTAAGACCAACCCAATCCAATCGGTTGGACCGGTCAACCTGAGAATCGGTCCTTTGACTGGGTAAGGAACGGTTCGGTTTTAAAACATTGTTTTAGAGTCCACCTTCACAAAAAGTCGACTCTGCAACAAAAAGATACTCATTGTTTTTTATGATGTGACATGCTCATAACAAATAGAAAAATTAATTAGAGATCTTAATTCTTAAATGGTTTGGTCCTGGAAGTTGAATCATCATAACAAGAAGTGATAACCAAGTGCTAAAAAATTGTGGAGTGGATCATTTCAAATTGTGGAGTGGATCATGCAAATATAATGAGGTTAAGGGATTGCCAGATACTTTTTAGTTGGCATGCTTTAAAACTAAATCATCCGATTGTAGATTACATGGAGCTATGAGCTATCAAGACAATGCCAAAATGGGAAAGTGCGTTGCATAAACGGAAAAGAATTTTTAATTCAAAAGTTTAGGATGTGCTAAAAATAAGTTATGATGGATTAGATGATGAAGAGAAAAATATATTTTTAGATATTACATGTTTTTTTTTTTTTTTTTTTGTAAGGGCCAATATAAACCATGTAATTGAAATTCTTAATGCAAGTGGATTTGATTCAGAGATAAGACTAAGTGTACTAATTGACAAGTCTCTCATAACTATAACGAATGATCGAAAAATTAGAATAAACGATCTATTACAAGACTTGGGCCAAAACATGGTTAAGCGGTTAAGCGAGAATCTAAAGATTCGAACAGACGTAGTAGATTATAACATCATGAAGATATTTATCATGTATTAAGAAAAAAAACGGTGAGAGGCCAACCCTTAACTTTTGCTTTTCACATATGTATGAGTTTCATTAACTTATTATTGCTATAAATTGTTAAACGTTAGCTAACACAATAAAAGGGATAACCAATAAGCAAATACTAGGGGTGAAAAAATTCAGTTAACCGGACCGATTAACCTGTTATTTGAATCAAACCGGTTTTCGGTTTCAAAAATAAATTGAACCGAAACCGGACCGGTTTCGGTTATAAACCGACCAAAAATTCGGTTCAGTTCATCGGTTAACCGGTTTTTAAACCGGTTAATTACAATTTATGATGGGCTGCCTTTTTTGACCCAATTCGGTCACCATTATGGGTTGCATTTTTTGGCCCAATTCAGTACTTTTTTTTTTTTTTTTTTCCAGGTTTAATGACGTTGAAACACCAAGATTCAAAATCAAACAACTAGTCATTTCTAACCAAATAACAATTGATTCTTAACTCCAAAATCATTATTCATTTATTGATGAAGTAACACAAAAAACTTGTAGTTCTAAATCATTCATTCTAAGTTCTCACTAACAAATACACAGCCATCACCATCAGTACATATACAAGAATTAAAACCAAAATCTTCAATGTCAAACCCCAGATCTGAAAACGTGACAACACAGATCTGAAAACCCAGATCTAAAACCCACAGGCAACAGACGATGACGACGACTGCGACAACGGTGACTGCAGCTGAGCGATGACGACATGAGAACACAGATTTGAAAACGGAGAGACAATGAGAGTCTGACAGAGAGTGAGAGACAGAGAATGAGACTAAGCGTGAGAGTGAGAGTGAGAGTGAGAGACAGAGACTAAGAGAGAATGAGACTGAGAAAACTGAAGGAGAAGAGATGGAGAAGAAGACGGAAAAAAAGGTGAAAAGTGAAAAGAAGAAGTGAAGATGAAAGAGAGCAGTGACACTGACGGTGAAAGATGAAAGAGAAAAGTGGGGAGAAGATTGAAAATGATGGAAAAGATAGATGAAAGAGAAAAGTGGCTGTGGGCTTAATTATAATAATATATATTGTTTATTTTTGAAACCAGTTTTAGAGTTCGGTTTAGTTAATCGGTTTAAAAATACTTATAAATCAAAAACCAAATCGATTAATTAGTTTATAAATATTTTAAACCGAAAACCAAATTAGGTTTAAAAAAAATTGAATTTTTGGTTCGATCCAGATTTTAAAAAAAATCAAATTTTTGGTTTGATTCGATTTTCGATCTTTTTTTTTTTCACCCCTAGCAAATACCAATCTATTACCCAGCTACTGTAGGTCCCACAACAAATTTTAAATTTTACCAACAAGAATATTCAATTTTAACCATTAATTTTCCCTTTTTATTTCTAGGCAAACCCCTGTGCAGTATCAACTAATGTAGAAGAATACTTTCCACAGAATATATATAGGCCTAGAGTGGGCTAGCGCCCTCCCTGGGCTTTATAAAATTCTGAAGGCTATTTCTTTAGACCCCAATACTTTACATAATTTTAATTATCCCCTCAAATAATTAAACCCAAGTCCCAAACCGGCAAAAATTATTTACGTCCCTAACTTTTACCTAATCCATCAAGTTCAAAAACAAACTAAACAAAATTATAATTTATAAATAAGACCCATCATATACAAATTAATTACTCATTACTCAATTCAATAATTAAGCCGAAAAACAAAATAAATAGAATTTTATATAATAAATAAATAAAACAAATTTATACAAACTTAAAAAAATTAAAGTTGCGAGAAGCTTACGGTCTTTATTACCATATGAATGATATTTTACTTAGTTTCTTTAGTTTAATTTACCTTTAGAAAATTAGGACTTTTTTATATATTTCCCATGTTAATATGATTTCCTTTATTTGCCTTACCATATATTAGACAAAATTATAATTGTATTAAACAAAGAATATTAACAATAAAAATTAAAGTTTCTATATTTATCATTATAATTTTTTGAAATATATTATTTTTTGAATTTCGCCCCACCTTGCTTAAATTTTTGGCTCCACAACTGCTTAAACCTATCTATCTATCTATCTATCTATATATAAAGAGTAATGCTATACATATCAACTTTGTATCCCAATTTATGTGGTAGTTGATTTGGCAATATAATTCAATAATCTCATCATACTAAGATACTGTTAAATCAGCTATCACATTAGTTGAAATACAAATTTTAGATTTCAACTTTATATGCATAACACTATCTATATATAAGCTTTGTGGGGAGCCTACGTGCTCTCTTTATGCTGTTCTTGACTTGGTGGGTTTTCCCACGGGTTTTTGACTGAGAGTTATCAGTCATCCTCTTGGGGTATGCCCCTCGTATTTGTATATTTTTGGTCTTTTATACATACTTACCTTATCCAAAAAAAACTATTTATATATAAATATTTCTAGGTAATATTGTTCTGGGCCGAGGATTCCATATGAAACCAGACCTCAATCTTGGCCCCTTGTGTTTAGGGATTGCTTGTAACCAATAATATCTTGGAGAAAAAAATATATAAATCACCTTATCTTATTATCATTAGATTACCATTGTATAGTGAGGATTTTCATTCTTATATCCCAGAATTTTTTAAATTTATATAAGTATACATAATTTCATCCATAAAATTTAATGTTTTCTTCAACCCCTCTATTCGTTGAATCTTACACTTTGACCCCTTGATAGTTAGTCAATCATATCTCCTAATTTCCTTGCTGAAAATGGCTTAATCAACATCGAATCATGTTGATAGTTAATCAATCACATCCCCAAGCCGTCTTGTTTATTGGCCTCCTAAACCTCATATCAGCCCATCACCATAATCGCAACCATTGCCTGTAACGACCAATTCTATCAAACACACTAGCATCATGTGTAAAGGAAAAAATTTAAGTAAAACTCAAAACAATATGTAAAGGGATAAATTAGATTTGAAAGTTGTTTATCTTTACCTATTACAAACAAGAAAATGATTTAACAATCTAATTTGATCACTCATCAATTTTAATAGTAAGCTTTGATCCATGTGTTGCTAATTTATTTTCACTTAGGATTATCAGGTGTTTGTTTTTTCATTGCAGCATTTTGAAAAGCTAAGACATATAAACCTTAGTCACTCCAAGCACCTGATCAGAATCCCAGATCTCTCATTGTCCCAAATCTTCAGAGCTTGATTCTAGAAGGTTGTTTACGTTTGGTTGAGGTTCCGTCATCCATTCAATATATATCTTGAGAAGCTAGTTATGCTAAATCTTCAAGATTGCGAAAATCTTACGAGGGAAACATCAACATTCAATCAAAATTTCTTGAAGATGTTATTCTCTCAAGATGGCTCCAAAGATCTCCTCTAGAATGGAAAGAATACGTTTTCATGGAACTGTAATCCAAGAAATACCCTTCATTGAGTCTCCATCAAGACTACTCGTATTGGATCTTAAAAATTGTTATAGGCTTGTGAGTCTTCCGAGCACCATATTTAAGTTGATGTCTCTTACAGTTCTTTATCTATCAGGTTGTTCAAAACTTACTAAATTGCCTGACAGCTTGGGAAGTTTAGAAGGTTTGATGGAAATCAAAGCTAATGATATTGCCATTAAAGAAGTACCATCATCAGTAGTAAAGTTGATAAAACTTCATAGTTTATCCTTACGGCGATGTAAGGGTCAAGAGCCGGTGGGTTTGAGATTACCAGCAATTTTATCTGGCTTGGGCTCTCTGTCGATTTTCGATGTATCTGATTGTGAAATCATCAAGTTGCCAAACAATTTAGGCATATTATCCAGTCTATATCCATTAAATCTAAGTGGAAACAATTTTGAGAGCATCCCAACAACTACAAGTATCAAGAAACTTTCGAAATTGGAATTTTTGGATGTAAGCTTTCGCGAGAAGCTTAAATCTCTACCAGAGCTACTACAGGTTCCACATGTCAGAGCGCAGAATTCCAAATCATTGAAGGCATTATCAGATTTATCATTTATATCGTCAGTTCCTTTATACCTTGAAAGTACATAATGCCAAACCCTACAATCTTAGTTCAGATCATGTATTCGTAGGTTACAATTTCCTTCGAGATGAACCATTCGGAAACAAACCCACTCAAACAAAAATCTACAGTAACACTGGATAATAACACTTTTTCTTGAAGTGTTATTNAAAAAAAAAAAAAAATATATATATATATATATATATATGCTCAAGTAACGATTCTCTTTGTACAGAAATATACTCAGCAGCGAGCTGCTATGTGTTTCCCTGGAGACAGAATTCCATTATGTTTTAAATTTCAAATGGGATCTTCTGTAACTTTCAATCTACCACACGATCGGAAGATCAGAAGCTCGATAAGCTTTGTTATGTGTATTGTTGTAACATTTCGAGAGCAACATTTTGTTCACAATAATCTACATGGAACAAATATGTTTCTGATTCGTCGCAAGTGCATCAAGAAAGACAGCGATGGTGTGATGAGGCTATGTGCGAGCAGTCTATGTATCCCTTGAAAGTATATAATGCCAGACCCTACAATCTTAGTTCAGATCATGTATTCGTAGGTTACAATTTCCTTCGAGATGAACCATTCGGAAACAAACCTAATATAATAAAAATGGCTTACGCTAACCGTACTAGATAATATCACTTGTTCTTAAAGTGTTACTGTAGACTATCTATAATAACACTTTGATATTAAAATATTATAATAACAATTTTTATATCTAATACTTTAAGTTTTAATAACACATTTTATATCAATAATAACTTTCTTTTTGAAAATGTTATTAATATATATCAATAATAGTATTTTTAAAGTGTTACAAAAGACCTTATAATATAATAGTTTTTTATAATGTTATTATATAATCAAAATATATTAACATTTTAAAATTGTTATCATAAACTCAATTATTGACTGGGAAAGAAAATATTATTCCCGCCAACATGAAATGAGATTGATTTTGTCTCATTTTTATTGTTTAGGGGTCAAAAATCATTATTTGGGGTTTACTTTGTCACTTTTCATTCATGTAGGGGCCAAACTGATTTTTTTTTTACAAATAGTATAAAAGGAAGATGGAAGGTTGTGCAAAGCCAAAAACGTCTACCCATCTTCATCCATTTTCCGGCGATCGTCCAACTTCCACCTCCACCAACCATTTTCCTTCTCCAATGGTCAGCTATCACCACCTAAGACCTTCTTGGATTTTGTCGACCGTTCAGCTTCCTTCATCCACGACCGTTCATCTTCCTGACAACTTTTCTCTATTTTTTAGAGACTTCTAGACATCCTAAGGGCCGGTCCATACTTCCTAAGGTCAGATCCACCTTCCGCAAGCTTGGTTGACTTTAAATCTCGCCGGAAAAAGCCATTTCATTGTCATAACTCTTCACCTTTCCAGCATGATTTTGCTCACTTTTTGGTGTCTTTTCGTCTCCCAATCACATATTTGGACTCCTTTTGATTTGATCTACCTCTCACGAAGTTTTGGAACATTTTCGTCATCGTCATCGTCGCCACCGCTCTCGCTAACAATCATTCAACTTCAATGTCCATTGGTCTTCTTTCCACCACGAATCAGTCCATCTTGCTGCCGGTTACTCATTTCCACCATAATCAGCTCCATTTCATCGTCATAGAGTAGGAATTTAATTTTTTTCAAATATATGTTTACATCAAATTGTTACGTTAACTCTAGGATTAATATATAGAGCAGAGTGATGACCTTATATGGTCCAGAAATTTAACATCTTTTAGGATAAATAGCATGTGCGATTGGTAGTCAAGTTTCATGTTTATAGTTTGTTGTATGAACCTTAATTTGGTAATTTGCTTAGAATTAACTTATGTTCTGATTGAGAAGCCTAGATTGATGTTGTGTGTTTGTTTGGCGGCACATGAGAAAAAACAATTGCATTTAAGATAAGGAAAAGATATTTTTTTTTTTATTAGGGTTTGTGATTTGGGAGTAAGATTTTTGAAATGGTGTGCTATGTTTTCGTTATAGCTTATAGTGATTGCGATCATGATTGTGATGCAGGGTAAGATTTTTTAAACGTGATTGTGATCGTTGTTTATAATTGAAGGGACGCATATATATTTTAAAGTTTGCATATTAGTTCTTAGTTTTGTTTATGATAAAAATGGAGATCTATGACTTTAATTACATATATGTTTAATTTTTTTTCCTTTAATTTTGTTTTGAGAAAGATGACAAAAAAGAACTTAAGTAAAAAGAAGTAAATATCATGTGCGGTTGATAGTGAAGTTTCATGTGTATAGTTTGTAGTATGAACCTATTTTTGCTATTTTGCTTAGAGTTTGCATGATGTTATGATTGAGAAGCATGACTTGGTGTTGTGTGCTTGTTTGTCAACACATGAGAAAAAATAATTGCAATTCAATTATTGGCACCCTAAAACAAAATAGATGAATTGGTTATTGTGTTGGTTAATTCTTTTTATCTCAACTCATGTTTCTTTGTTATTCATAATGCTCTTGCCATGTTTTCCTATAATTATTCATATATTGTTTGGCTTTTGTTAATTGTGTAGATTAAGTAATGTGAAAACTAAAGGATATTCTTGTAGAATTTGGTTAGCAGATAGTTTTTTCAGTTTTAGAATTCAACACAAACTTCAAAAACATTATGAGCAACAAACATAGCCTAACAAAAGGGAATTATATTTGAATTTGATTTATTGGTCATATCAGGACAAACATTTCACTAGTGCTATAATGATGATGAATAAGGATTGGGTGCATTTGATCAGGTAAGAAAAATATTAAAAGACATACCTCTTAGTATGAAGTAATAATGATTTTCCTTAACAAGGTTTCAAAATTTTTTTTTTTTTTTTTGATAGAGCTGCAGGTGCATACATGTAAGGTGCATGGAACTTTGTCAAGTTGGCTAAAAAGAATGCAGGCTATCAAGAGAAGCACTTCTTCTTAGTTGGCTTGATTGGAGAGGGTCTAATGAAGTAGTAGCTGAATGATGTTTTTCATCAGATGATCCAGAAGCGCTTGTTCATCATGTTACTATTAGACCTAATGCTATGAGAGTTTGGATTGATATAGCCAAGGTACCTAATGAATTTTTGTGGAGGCTTGCATCCGGAATGGTTTCTATTAAAGATGTTGTGGGTAGTACAGTTGCTTGGCCCGTGGACAAAGTTGTCCTAGCTTTTCCAAAACAATTTTAGGTAACTTCTTTTCCACTATATCATCTCTTTTAGGTTTCATCTATTGTAACATATATTATAATGATATAAGTTGGAGATAAGATTAGAAAATATGTAATATTGATATAACTTTTAAACTTGCGTGGTGCCAATTTTTAGAACTAGTGATTGTAACGTTGGAGATTTAAATGTGTTTTTTTCCTCTTTGTTTTGCATTAAATGTTTACGGTGTTTATTGTTAAGGTAGGTGCCTTAGAGCCAACCGAATTGTAGTTATTGACTACTTGTAAAACATGTTAATAAATTAATATTAATAAAAGGCAACTCAATGTTATGTAAATCGTATTTCTCATATGTTATAATATATGTCCTTAGAATAGTACAATCGTGATGAGTGAATCAATCAGTGATAAGTCTTGATTGTGAAATCCCTATGAGCATATTTGGTGGCCATTCTAAAAATCATTCTTAGCCACAGTGTTGTCTTGAATTAAGGGAACATATAATACGGTAAGGCTATCATCACGTTGAACGACCTATCGAAAGATAGTAACATATCTTGTATGTTAAAGTTGTTTGGTGACAACTTGGTGTGACTCATGGGTGCTTGTGGTTGGCAAGTTCACTGAACTAACCTTTCAGAGGATTCCATATAGATGGTAACCCTAATGTCTATGGAATACATTCTCTAATGGATGGTGATGCATATGATCCATAGACTTGAGATCACTACAGCGCTATGTGTAAATACCAGTATAGTTTGCCGCTGACCTAACGTAGTCCTATTTAGGGTTATCAGAATGGAAGTGATTGGCTACATCGAGAAGTACATCATGACTATGGTGGATCGACATATGATTCATCACTCTTGGATACAGGAGAAATTATCTCGCTGAGTAATTCGGTAAATGATAACAATTGTAAAAATGTGGCTATAGTGGAATTGAGCTGGTGCTCAAGTTCGGTTAAGTCATTAGTTTGAATTACCGAATACGAATAGGTCAAGGTAGTATATTTGAAGTTGACATTATTTATGTACTTCAAACCTTGATGAAATAATAATTTATGAAAAGATTCGATCACACGGTAACCATACCATTGACTGGTAGTTGATATGTTGAATTTGAATCTATCGGGTGGTCATGATGCCTGGCTAGAGGTCAATCTTGGTCTGTGTGTAATGAGACAATTGGTTAAGTGTCAAATTCGATATTACCCATTGCCGATATGATAAAGAGCCTACGGATCATACACTTAAAAGACAAATAAAAAGAAGATTTGGAATAAGGATTGTCATTTTTGGGACGAAGGGTATTTTGTTAATTCTTACAGTGTAATTAAATTTGCTAGAAGGTTGTCCCCAATGTCCAATTTAAATATTGGATTGAATTTGTAAGATTACATATTTATTCAAACATATATATATTGATGTATATATTAAATGAATAAATTATCGCTATTTAAATTAATATATTGGTGTATATGCATTTTAAATAGTGAATTGTTATTGTACGATTAAAGCAATAATAATAAAATACCAAACCGACTTTTTCTTGGGCACTAAGTAAAGTCCAATTAAGTTAGATATTAGTAGGGGTACTCTTGAAATTGTGCAAGAGTAATTAGGGATAGGGTTTGCCTAAAATAAGGCACTTAACCCATAGATTTAGCCCAATCTTCCCAAGCTAAAATGTTGTAGAGAGAAAATTTTCTAAGGAAAATTTCATCCATTTTTCTTCTTTGAACCTCCTCAACCAAACTAGTAAATTGATCATGTGGGGATTCTTGTCTTCGTGTAGATTTCCATTCGTGCACTTCTATTCTTGATGTGGGAG